TTACAAAAAGCACAGATGTATTGTTCAGAATTATTATTAGGGCTTGCAGTTCGATTTGGATCATTCACACTGAAATATGAAAGCGGTCGTATACGGCTAAAAATATCTGAATTCAGGTGGTTATCGTTATAAATATATATCTAAATTATCAGTGAAATTTAAAAAATTAATTGAGTATATTCAAGAATATGTGGCCTCTGTAACTTTTCATAATATTGTAAACAATGTTAAATTCAAAATGAAGTCTAACTTGTCAAATTTTGAAATTAAAATTTGCTGCATAGCTTACGTGTGTAGCTTGATTGGGTTATCAACGTGGTATCAACAAATTCGCTTCTCTTTGATTTAAATTCGCCTTTGACTATGATTTGGCGACTGTAGTAAACTTCTTTCCATTTACAGAAAGTATGTAATTTTATTTTTACAAAAAAATTGAAATTTTATACTGTTACAATTTTAATTTTTTTTTTTATTTCTTACATTGAATTTTTTTTCTCCTAAATTATTCTTACCGAGAACAGAAGGGCAAAAAATAAAATGAGAATAAAATAATAAAAAAATGGCGGTATTCTTTTCCATTCAAATAGAAAATTGAAATTACATTCCGAGATCAAAATAAAAAAAAAAGTGGAAAGAAAATGGTAAATGATTTTTACAAGAATTACATAATTTGAAATATTTTTAGAAATCACATATATCGTATATGTATATTTAGTGTATAAGTGGGTAGTTATTTATAAATATGAACTCAGTGTGAACGACTAGTATGCATATGAATAAAATGAGAGAATACAAAAAAATTGTTAAAAAAAAAAACCAATCATGCAGAAGAAGAAATCAAATGTGTGGTTTTTTTGTTTTGAAAAGGTCAGAACGATGGTTATTTGACCTTAATAGTTTGTAAAACTCTTCATTTTGATTCGAATTGAATATGTGGGTGATTTTCATTTTTTTTTAGTATTTTATACCCCAATTTACTATGTATTTAATGGTAGTCATTACAGGCAATTTTGTTACAATTATGATAAAATTGTAAATTAAAAATTTCTACATTTTAAATTTTAACTTCGAATATTTTCAATACTCAGCATTTTTCAGAATATACCTATAGAAACATTACTCTATTTGTACTCAAAAATTTAAAAACAAGAAGAGAGAGGGACCGTTAACCAAGTAGAGATCACGTTTTCATTTACAAGTAAGTGAACTCTTGCCTTGATTTCACTGGTATATTTTTCGTATAACTTTCAATGTACATTGACTATATTGATTACTTTTACATTATAATTTTTCTGAGTGCATTTATTTCAATTGATATTTTTTTTTCTAATAATTTTAAAATATAAGTAACATAAAAATTATTTTTAAAAGTGACATTTTACTATAATAAGTAAAAAAGAAATAGAAAGCTAGCTATTCTCCTTAAAAAAGTTAAAAATCATACTTTGACACTTTTAGTAAGATGACATCGTAAAATAAAGGAGTTGTCATATTAAATTTGAAAAATAATTTAAAAAATTGTCATGGTAAAAGTAAAAGATTTTTTTTTTTTCAAAGTTTTACGAATCAAGTAAATTGATTTTTTAATATTAATATTTTTATATTTGAAATATTTTTCATAGAAAAAGAGAAATTTCTAAGAGAAATTTTTTGTTTAAAGACTCTATTTTCAATAATTTATAATAAATATTAGAGAACTTAAAATTGAATTCTGTATAGAGTGGAATTGCAGTTTACAAGTATAAAAGAAAATATTTGTTAAATAAAATTTGTATTTAAAATAATTTACTTTTTCCTGTAAGAAATTCATTGTAATTTTTGTTCGTTCTCACAGTAATTAAGAGTATTTTTCTTTTCAGAAGAGTAAAACTGTAAGAAAACTTTTTTGAGTATTGAGAGTAAAATTGAGAGTAAAGCATTCTGTCTGTACCGGTTAATTGAAAGGAAAGTATTCGGTTTATTATGGTATACTACGCTGTATGTATAGTAAAATAACAAACATTATTAATAATAAAGAGAATTAACGAAATGGATCACCACTAGTACACAGGGTCGCCGCTTGAAATAACACAAAAGTAGCAAAATTTTGGAAAAAAGGGGTAGCATACTAGCAAAAATTAAATTAGAAAAAATAGCATAAACGTAGCATATTTCATTTCATCCATCTCGTTTCAAAGTCAAACTTAAGAATATTTCATTTCAGTGAATTTTCTCGACTTTGCCTCTAAATTTTCGAACTTACGAGTATGCACATATATTTATATAATAAATTAGTTTATTTTCTTAAGAATAACTCATAATTAAGTTCTTTGAGCGAACATTATTGCTTTTACTATTTCTATTTTATATTTATTTGATAAATTATTTTTGATTAAACTTAATTATGAAGTAACGCATTCAGCCGGATCAGAACCATGTGGCAAACTAAAAATATTTATAGCAAAATTGAAAGAACAGTAGCTTCAATACATAACATTGAGCTGGAGCATTAAAACTTTAAAAAATGTGCAAAAGAAATGATTATGCAAATGTGAAATATAAATATGAACTGAATATTTTATTTGAAAATAGTAAAAAAGTAATAACTCCGAAAACTAAGTAGAAATTCCAATTGAACACAAAAAAAAATAGCAATTTTGCTACTATTTAAGTAACATTGTGAAAAAGCTACAGTAGCACACTAAATTTTGTCATATTTTTATATAAAAAATGAGAGATAAAATGTCGCTTTTGTTGCTTGTTTCGCTCAAAAAAATTCTCTTTTTACATTTAAAGGTTATTAAATTTCTCTTAATTTTCATATTTACAGACATTTAATTTGTAATTTAACATTAATAATGGCAGCTTTAATTTAAATTTTAAATTAAATTTAAAACTTATTTTAAATGGTGTCTTTAAAATTAAATTTTCTTCCTTTAAAGACCTTCACAAATTGAAAGAGAAAAATATTCCCGTATTATATTATGTACATTAAAATTTTATAAACTTAAAATGTCGAATTATTTTCAATTTCAATTTTTCTTAATATATGTAAATGTAAGTATAGTAATTTTGTCACATAAAATAAGTATGTATAAGCTTTTCGAAGAAAAAAACAAAAATCTACATTTTCTTTTTTTTAAAATTTTTCAAAATTTTAGAAAACATAGAAAATAATTTGAAATCTTTATTTTTTATTTTCCTTCTAAATCTTGTACTTTTGGTACACTTCTTTTTTTTTTGTCTCTAACATTTTTACTACTGATTTATTTATCAGACTAGTCAAGTTTTCAATTCTAAAAATAAATCGAAGTACCTAAACGTATAAAGTAAGTATAAAAAAAAATTGCAATTGAAGATACAAAAAATATTATTGAAAAACGATAACTAAAATAGAAAAAAGAGAAAAAATATTGAATTGAAAAATTTACTTTTCTTTTTTTTACGATATTTATTTGCGCGAATAACGATAAAACAGAAAAAGAAAGAAAACAATAATGAAAAAAAAAATAATAATAAAAATTGCTTTGAAGTTTTTAAAATTTTATTTTTTTTTATTCTACATTTACTTCACCTATGTACACATATTGTACATAATGTATATATACAATTTTATATCAAGGACTCTATATATTACCTGTATGAATAAAAATACATATATACTTACAAGAGTTTTTTTACATGGTGTTTTCTTGGATTTTATATATAGAATAATCGAATTTCTTTAATGAATAAACGAGATGAGAGTAAATTTTTTGTTCAGAAAGGATTATACCAAAGGTATTGAAAGCAACTGGATAGCGTAATAAGTTTGGGTTAAGAGAATATTCTGATATAAGTGGCGGTTTTATAGTTCAATGTCAACTTTTTGTGTTATGTTTTATGAATGAAAGGATGTAATTGAAAAAATAAATAATAATTTCAATTCATATGCTTTACACTACATTATAATTGATTGATTTAAAGGCATTTTGAATATATTCAGTGTTCAAGTAAGGGTATTGAATTTCTATGTAAATTTTTAGTATAATAATTTTAAAAATTTGAACAGAGAACAGTTTGAATTGACAGAAATTTGAATTTTAGAACAATTTCGCTTACAATATTTATTAATTTTGTAAGGAGACAAATATTTGGTGCTTAAAATATGGTAGAAAATTCTTAATTGTAGTCCTCATGCGAATATAAAAAAAAAAATCCGGATTTTCTTAATAGATATTAGAAATATACTCGCAATAAAATGATATCGGAAACTTGATATTTCTCATGCATTGTGTGAGTGAAGCACTCAATATAATATGAGAAAACCTATTATTTTCATTTTCAATTTTTTTTGTATTTCTGTATTTTTTTTTATTTAATTTTACTTCTGGCTGTGATAACAATTTTTTTTTTATTTTTTTTGCAATTTTTTTGTTTCTTGTTTGAGAAAAAATAAATTTTCCATAGCTAAAATGTTCACGTAAATGTCATATTTTTATTTTGTTAGTTAACACATGCACATATGACATACGTAAAATATCCTTTACATACAATATAATGTATGTATATATATCTAATTGAAAAATAATCAAGATAAATACATGAGTTTTTTCTTAGTAACAAAAAAAAAAAAAATTTAACTAAAAATTTAAAGAAACTAATGGGAAAGAAAATAATAAATTTAAAAGGATCAAATTGTATTTTAAAAAAAATATTTTTAAATTAAGAATTTAGCCGTAAAGGACAATTTTCTTTTCTGTCAAATTTTCTTTAAATTAAAATTATAAGTATATAATATTTAGGGTATAGCACCCTGTTTGAGCACCATGGAATCATATTAATGGTGATTCCATTGCTTAATTAATATCGACTTGTTATAAGTAATAGTGTTAAAAATAAAAATTTAAAATTTCTATATTTCAATTAATTAAAATTTAAATAAATTTTTTCTGAGTGTAACAAACATAATTATTTTTATTAATTTAAATATTTTATAATAAAAATTAAATGTTTCTTTTTTTTTTAAATTTAAAACTTACCATTATGCATAGCTACACTTTTATCTTCAACACGACTAACATAACAGCAAAGTTCATCTTGTCGTTCAGCATTTTCAATTAATTCAGCTTCAACTGAGAAACCCCACATTTGTTCTAATGTTGTACGTTGTAATTCAACTTGATATAATATTTTCATACAAACTTCAACAAATTCATGATTGTGTAACTGTAATGAATAGAAAATTCGAAATGGATAAAAATTAAAAATATTGAATATTTTTGAAATGAATTAATAATAATTGTTTTAATTAATTAATTTAAAAATTTTGATTTTATCAGATTAATTTTGAATATTTTGGAAATGAGTCCTAAAAGTAGCATATTCGAGAAGAGTAATTGGCTCATATTTCAATAAAATTTAATCACTCGTCTAAATTACAACCTGAAAATTAATTAAATCTCCTTAAAATCACTTTTAATTGCAAATTCATTCTATTCTTGCACACAAATGGTGTCTTCACATACACTATAATTGTCCAGTCAAAAATATAATAGATTTTTAATTACAAAAAATTATATTGAACTCTTGTTTCAATTTCCAATAATAATTATCCATTTTAAATGAAATGAACTTTTTAATTAACTTCTTTAAAATCAATTTTAGTAATACAAGTGATTTTTAAAGGATTTTCTATTTCTTTGTTTTTGTATTTTGTTCTTCAATAAAAAAATTTTCAATACTCTTCAATTATTCTTCACATCTCTATATTTTGATAAAAGATAAAATGAAAGAAGTAAATTGAATTATTTATAAAGGTATAAAGGTAAAACATATAGTTAAATGCCAAATTACAATTAAAGAAAAATAATTAATTTGTGAACATTTTGAAATCATTCTTTAGTATTATGTATTCGATTAAGAAAAATGGAAAATTACACTTTTGCAAAATAACTATAAGTACAAAATTGATATCACATACATATATATATTTATATGTATAATAGAAATTAATGAATTTTTAAACAATTTTGCTACACAGAACAATATAATTAGGGCACTTTATAATTATTATTAAAAGTAATAATATGATTATTATTGTCAAGGGAGTACTTATATCTTGTTGAAAAATTTTACATTTGAGTACATTTATCATTCAATAAAGATGAATCAAACCAATTGTTTATAATGTAGCACTTTTCTCTTGAACAAGCGAAAATACTGATTTTTTTTAAATTATTGCATACATTTAGGATGAGCGGAATACTAATATTGAAAAACAACGTAACGTAATGATTGAATTGGATTAAGTAATTGAATTAAAATAAATAGATATATTTTTTGATGAATTTTCTGTTATCATTTTGAAATTTGGAAAAGCATAAAGATTCGGAAATAACAGTTATTGAAAATAAAAATATTACCAATGCCAACAGACGATAACACGGGACGGAGAATAAAATTTTATCTAGTAACAATTTATTTGTTTTCTATATTGTAATTACTTATTTTTCCCTTTAATACAGGAGTAATTACCCGGTAAGTTCATTTACTTTAGGTTTACTACTAATTCTTCTTATCTGAGGGTAATTTTTATTTTCTAAAAAGGGTAATTACCCCCAATAAAAAATACTAATAATTTTTTAAATCTCAGCTGTAATAACTTGGAATTTTTATTTTATTTTAGAATCACTAAAAGACAAATTCTAATATTTAAAAAATCTTAGTAATTAAATGAACGTAACTACATTATTTTATTTTGGTATAGTTTATAATTTCGAAAACCTATTTCAAATTAACAAAAATACTAATAAATGGCGAAAATAAGGCTTTCTTAATTAAGTTTAAAATAAAATTAATAAATAACAAATGCTAGCAAGATAAAAAATTTAAACATGAAAAATCGAAAATTTAATTTATTTAAGTTGGTATTTTTCCATTGCAGGATTCTTTTATTTTATGAAAGAATCGAAAAATGACAAAAAATATCGTCTAAGGGTTTGATTTATTTGAAAATTTCCAAAATTTTTTGTATTTTCTTAATAAATAAAATGTGTGACTTAATAAATGTATGAATTTACAGTGAAATCTCTTTATAATGAATATTGTGTATGACATTCTGAAATTTATATTTCACGAACAATATATTAATTGTCACGAACTTGCTATTTTGTGTTTTTAGTAAAATATGTATTTTATGGTAAAGATTCTCTATATTACAAAATTTCTGTACTACTTAAAGAATTTTGTATATATTTGCTTCATAGATTTTCTACTGTACTCAAGCAATATCTTAAAATAACACTAGAAAAACCTACAAATTTACTTAAAAGAACTATAAAATACATATACACACTTTTTATATCATAAATTGACTTTTAATAATAAATTTAAGAAAATAATTGAAAAATATATTTAATAATTTGAAGAATTACACTTGTGTAAGGATAAGATTTTAGACAAAAAAGAAAAATTTAAATATACTTAATAAAAAAATAAGACTTAAGAGATCATAAATGAAAAAAATTATTTGCTTCTATAAATCTTTTATACATATATATTTTTTTTAAATATTTTAATAACTCTTAAGAAATTCATAAAATAGAAAAGAAAATTTTACTACCGACATTTTTCTTTTAATAATTTCCTTTTAACCACACATAAATACTGAAAATATGAATTCTTTTCAAAAAATGTGTGAATTTTAGATATATGTAAAAATTTAATTGAATTAAAATTAATTATAGGTCTATGTTATATGTGTATATGATAATAAGGTATGAAAAACAAGTGCTCTTGTATGAAAAGAATTTTTTTTTTCATTTTAAATTTGGATTTGAATAAAATTTTCAATTGAAATTGAGTTCATATTAAGAATTAAGATCAAAATATTTAAAAGTTGAAAGAAGATTTTTAATCTTTCTTTTAATTGATTTCTCATTTTTTTAAATGACGTAATCATGTAATGAACAGTAAAATGTTCTTATTTGTAACAGTTTAATTTGTATAGATTTTAATGAAATTATTCTTAAAGGAATTGCTGGTTTTCACATTTTTAATTGTCATATTAGTCACTTAACAATTGATTTGACTGATGTGCGTCTTTATATTTTTTTGGTGTTAGCGAGAGAAAATCTTAAAGAGAATTCATTTTAAGATGCTTAAATCGTCAGCTATCTGATATGTTTTATAAAATTTATTTGAATTTTCTGGCTTATTGGCTAATATTTAATTTATGGTATAATTATTTGTAAATGGATTTCATATTAATTGGATTCGAGTTGCGGAGACTCTCTTGTTACTAAATGTTATGGTAATCTGATAATATTATTATTGGCAGTAAGAGCTTTATTCATACATTTTTCAAAAATTAAATTCAATTAAATTGTCATATTAACTAAACAACACTCCGAAAAGCCTAATTATATTCGATCAATATAAACTTGTGAGAAGAAAGTATTCTTTAAATCTCACAGGTTTGTTAAATCAGCCTTTATGGTATGCAATTTTTTTTTCTTTTAATTGTACATGCATGTGTGGGTGTTCCAATGTACGTGTGTAATCTACACGTGTATTACATTTTAATTTTTTTGTATTAGAGAAAATCTATTAATTTTGTACAAGTGTTTTTATTCATTCCTTAGTAAATTTGAAGAAGAAGAAGAAGGAGAACAAGATAGAATACATACCAAATTTAGATTCATTTTTTTAAAATGCGGTTTCAAATACAAAATCTCAAGAAAATTCATAAGAAATGAAAAAAAAAATAGACATTGAAAATTTGAAAATTATTTTTTTCCATTTAAAGTTTTACAAACATTTTATTTTTTTTTTTTCAGTATTTTATTGTAAGTATAACACTTTTTGGAAAAGTTATTAAAGAAAATGAATTTCTTCACTTTTCATATAATAAATTAAGAAGTTTTCAGAGCGTAACACTCGTATAAAGCAAAAAAAGAATAAAAATTAAAAAAAAAAATTATTTACAAATATTTTCTGTTTTTATTTCAAATGCAAAAAAATATATACAAAAAATTGTGTAAATAGTTTTTTCGGTTTCATTTAAAGAAAATCTCTGATCTGGAAAAAAAAATTTTCTTCAGAGAAAGGTCATATCAATTTTCATAAAGCTTAAATGCTTAAACAAAGAATACACACATGAATATATATATATGAGTAGTGCACACACACATGTACGACACCTGTACTTGAAAAAAGTGTAATATTTTCATTAAAGTAATGAAAAATGCATTGAAAGAAAAAGTTTTTAATTATTGTTTTGTACTAAAAGTAAATTCTTTTTACATTAACATTAATGTTGTAAGGGGAAATATTATTTTGAGAGAGATGCTATTTTATATGAAAATTGCATACTTCCAGGAGAAATATTAATATAATTATTGTAATACTTAAATACGAAATATTTACTTTTTTATTTAATTGTTTATGAAAAAAAGTATATTAATAAAAAACTCTGCAATTTTTCCGTATCTACTAAAATGCCTGATTTACCGAATTTTCGATATCTTTGAAAATCCCTTCAAAATTATTGTTATTTAAATTTCAATTTGACCAGATTTTTAGATTAATTAATTTTATTATTAGGTTGGTTAGTAAAATTTCTTATTTTAGTAGAAGTAGTATTAAATTTAGTGACAAAAGTAGAGGATCAAGAGTCATTATTTTAGAACTTCTCCAAAATATAAAAATATTTAAGTATGTCGAGTTTGAGAATTTTTTCACAGGTCTCTATATGAAATGTGTCAACGTGGTTAGGTATCTCTTATGAAATTTTTATACAGATAACTTCGTATTAGAATTATTCAATATCTTCTCCTGAAACTTTAAAGTTATTCTTATAAATTTAAATCTGTTATACAAAATCATGTCAAAAATTGCACTATAATCCACTTTAATATTGTGGTATCCGAAATTAATTAATATTAATAATTTTCATTTTAATAATATAATTGCAATATTAAATAAATAAAAAACAATTTTTTTTTACCATTTTCCAATACCACGCAGTTAAAATTTAAATTCTCATGAAAATAAGAAGCGTATTAAACACTTTTCTCATCTATTAAGTGGGATTAAAAGAGTGTTATAATCATTCTTATATACACCTACATAATTCTATTTTCTTAAATAATTCAAAAAAAAAAAAAAAAAATGAAAGGAACAAAAACTGTAATATAAGCCACAGTCATTTATGATAAGGGTGCCAT